ATCGGCTCCAGTGGCGCAGATGGATAAGTGTGTGTCGTTGGTTTTTTGACGCGATCGACCCGGGTTCGATCTCGCCTTTTGCCAAACTTTTTTTTCCTCCTTTTTCAAATCTCGTATTAGCAATGGATTCTATTTACACTAAGTGAAAATAGCAGTATTTTTAGCAATATGCTATTTACACTAAGTGCAAATACCTATTTACACTGTTAAAATAGCAGGATTTCTACTATCAAGTATACTACTTGTTGCAAATAGTGGCAATTATCTGCACTTCAGTATTGTAGTACATTATAAAACAGTATGCAATAATAATGTATTGAGTGTAAATTATAATTTTAATTTTAATTATTAAATGGATGCCACCTTATTGGGACAATAAAGCCCTCCCTACATCTAGCCTAACCCTACCCGATACTTTATTTTCAACGTTTCAATTATTTCTTTCATTTTTTTTTTTAAATAAGTGCCTTGCCAATGTGATACGGGATTTGAAAAGGGAGAAAAAAAAAGTTTGGCAAAAGGCGGGATCGAACCCGGGTCGATCGCGTCAAAAACCAAGTCTCAAACTATACCTACCTCTTACGGTTTGTCTGATTTGTCGTTGTGTTTTCTGACTTGTTATAATGTTTTCTGAATTATTGTTGTGCTTTCTGAATTGTTATTTTGTTTTTTAGACTTGCATTTGCGTTTGTAATTTGTTATTTTGTTTTCAGAATTGTGATTTGGTTTGCACTTCTTGGCCACCGTAGATTTGCCCTGGGTTTAATACAATTCTATTAGTCCAAACGTAGCTGTAAAAATGCATTAATTCATACAACAATAATGGAAGGTTAGTATTGTTACTTAGCAGACTACATAAATGGCCACTTGGGGTACCTGCATTATAGCTTGCCAAGTATATTAATTAGCAATGACAAACTTGTTTTTACATGAGAAACCTATTTAAATATGTTGGAACCCAAAACCTTTAAACCCAAAACTTTCTTACAATCAACCTACAGATCACATTCAGATTTTCCTCCATCCAATCAACAACTGATGCATAGAAGTCCAGACCATTTCTTTTTTTCTTTTTCAGTAGTCAGTTTTGGATGTGTATCACAGTGCAGAAGAAAAAGATCTGTTGCTGCTTCTGCTACATCGCAGTTTTAACAAATTGAAGCTAATGGTAAAGTGCTAACAAAATGTTACATATATAGAATTTTTTTGTAGACTGTTAGCTTTGGGGAAAAAAATAAATACAAATAAGTTGACAGTATTTTCTCAACAGAATGGTGACTAATTGGACCACCGTGAAAACGTTGGGGGCTTTGAGACCATAGCTCAGTTCCTTTGAGGCTGCAGATGCTGAACAATGAGCCGCATAAGTTGGCATGTAAATTAACAACTTATGTCTGTAGACCAATTAGAGAAGCCCATTTACTGTGGTGCCAAGAGTCTCGCTTCTGCTGGGGTCCAGCCCTATACGTGTGTACGCCTTATTGAGTCATGACACCCTGCACTGGAGTCATGAAGCATGGATGCACGTCTGCCTCTCAGCCACGCTCTCTGAGGGTCAACGAAGGAGTGCTGAAGGAAGGTTGTTCCTGGCCAGGGGAGGTGATCGATAGACCCCACTTCTCTCTGTCCCCTTGCTGCCACCATGCATGGGGTCACTGCTGAGCTCTTAATTAAACAGGCAATTAACAGAGGGTGAGGAGCGAGCAGACGGAGAGAGACGAGATGGTGTGGTTCGACCTTGGCATGTTCTAGAAGCATCAGGGAGAGTAAATAAAAAAGGAACGAACGACCCAGCACCAGAACTTCACAGGCAATTAACCAATGAAAATGCCCAAAAATGAACAAAAGAAGCATCAAATACTGTCAGAGCGGCCGCTTGCTGCACAGCACCAGTTGGAACTTAGTTTGGTCTCTGAGGGATTGTGGAAGCTGTTCCGCATACTGAAGAGTAGATTTTTACTGCTTGATTGCTGAAAAGTAGGGCCCAGTCATAAAATGGGATTTACTGTATAATGCAGCATTTGAATGATGAGTATTTAGAGAGAATTTAGATGAGTAATTTAAAAGGTAGGGTTGTACATTTCATCAAATTGCAATATGGGCTAATGTAATGTGAATTTTAAACCGCAAAAAGGACTGCTATCAAATGTTAATTCTGCATGTCTTAATGTCTCTGTGTGAATGAGCAGCACAGTTCCGTACTCCATGTAAATTTCATCTCCAGAGCTGCTCAGAGAGTTTATTTCATGAGCATATCATCATTTTATTTAATAAAACTGTTCTCAGACACATAGAAACTCTTCAATACAAGGTCTTCACTCCCTGCCAAAATAAAGGTTTGGTCTAACTTGAGGAAATTATGACAGAAAAATATTACAGTTATTATTGTACAGGATGTATAATCGCTAGGGATGTAACAATTAACCGCGAGCCGGCTGAAAATCGATTCAAATATGTGACTATTCAAATCGGTTGAGATGCTAAACAAATCGCGATTCAGTTAGGTGTAGGAGTTTATATGAATGTATGTCTGAGGGGAACTTACTGTCTTTAGAAAAGTTTAGATGGCATTTTTTCTTTTAATCTAATCCCTAATAATCGCAATGTAATACTAATAACAACAACAACCACAATACAGTTTATCAATACATTATTTTTTAAGGAATATTGCACAATATCATATTCTTTTTTGTCAATTTTTAATTTAAACTGTGAAACTCTCGTGCTGCACTTTTTTGCCCCCCAAAAATGAAAGGAATTGTTCAAATTAATTTGATTACATTTTAAGATGAATAAATTGTTAGTTTTATGTATATTTGTTTTATAACAACCATTTTTGATAAGATTTTGACTGGATTTATAAATGCATCATTCATTCATTCATTCATTCATTTTTGATAAGGAATTTATATGAAATAGTAAAACACAGAATCCAGAAACAAATTCAAACAGACACAGAACAGAATCTCAGAGAAAAACAACTATAACTATAATTTTGATACATTGGTATAAAATATAAGTTTAATAAGTTGTTAAAGTTGAATTAATTCAATTGATTAGATATTGTAAATATTAAAATCCATTCAAATGGAATCCAGAAAATTTAAACAGAAAACTCAGAATTTGTGATAAAACAAAGCAGATTTCATAGGGTCCTAGAGAAGTTATCGATTGCATCAGTTGCTGTTAATGTTCATCTCCAGATTTCTAAGATATGTAGCTGGCAGTTTGGATAGGTCTGAGTAGGAGGATTTACAAGTGTGTGTTTGTGTAAAGGTGAAGGATAAACAGAGGTCTCTAATATGAATGGTCATCATTGTAGACACGCCCCCGGAAGGAGGAATGTCAGAGGTAGCGTGCAAAAATCAATATGCAAGTGATCAGGAAGAAAAACAGTGCTGGTCTGTCAGGACCTGTTTCTATCACCCTGAGCATTTGATTGGCACAAGATGTGTCTGTGTGCTGTGCAGGACCTAGCAAATAACACTGGACACTCAGTCATCTGCCCGCAGCAGGGTTACCCATGAATCACTCCAAAGAGCCCCTCATTCCCTCTTTATCTCCTTTAGCACAGATCCACTGAGTGGCAGAAACACTACTATATCAACATGGGTATCCTGCTCGGTAAAACACGTTATCGACACCACTTGAAGCGGTTTCGTATGAATTCACATGATGTTCCACCCACTAAGGGTTTATCTTTCTTGACCTATTTGAATATTGCCATAGTCGTGGCTTGGTGGGATAGTGCATATGTTCAGACATTG